ACCGGGGGAGCGGAGGACGGCGCGCGGAGCCTTCTGGGAGGCGCAGTTCCCGCGAGCGCGCACGCGCGCACTACGACTCCCGGTAGGCTGCGCGCGCTGGGCATTCCGGGAGGCATAGTCGGCCTTGGCCCCGCCCCCTGCCATGCTGTCCGGGAGTGGGCGGGGCCCAGACGGTGCGGGTCATTCTGGGAATTGTAGTTCTCTTCGCCTTCACAGTGCAGATGACGCCCTGGGTCGGGCTGCTGGGCCACCGGACGCGCTGGAGGGGGACGCGCTGGGGAGGCGCCCGCTGGAGCACCGGTGCCGGGCAGGGTAGGGGCGCGTAGCATGCATTCGAGGCCCCAAAGCAGCAAACCTGTAACGCGTTGGGAGAGAAGGAGAATTTAGACTGCCAGCGCGGTGTGGTGACGCACGCCTGCAACCCCAGCGCTCGGGAGGAGGCTGATGGAGGAGCATCACCGAGGTCCGCGGCACACAGTGACAACCTGTTTCCAAAGGTGTGAGCCGGAATGCATTTTAAAAAACCAAATCCAAGCCCGGTGTGGTTTATCACAGCTCTCCGGAGGCTGAGGCGAGTGGGGCTTCCCTGAGTGCAACACCGTCCAGGCCCACACAGTGGGAGCCTGTATATAAATAAATAAAGCCATAAATAAGATTTATGATGCGGGCTGCGGCGCGTGCTTGGAGAGGTCGTGCCAAGGGAGGGGGAGGCGCACCATGGAGCTCACCGAGTGGCGTGCACCCCGGCGCCGGCAGAGGGCGCGCGAAGCCCGGAGATGGACCCGCTCTTCTCCGCAGTCTCCCTCCCTGCGGGCCTCCGCCCCCGCGCGCCGCTGACGCAGGAGCGCGTGCGCGGGCGGCCGCGGAGGGGTGGGGGTGGGGGGGCTCCACTGACGTCTGCTGTGTCCGCGCAGCCTCGCTCTCGGCCATGATGTCACCACCCCGCCCCCGCACCTACGCAGGTTCCAGCCCCCGCTGAGCCTTTGGGCCCCAGACTCCCCCCCCTCCCATGTAGGCTCACAGAAAATGCAAGTCGGTGGGCACACAGTGGGAGAACCATTGGCTTGACTTAAAGGCAGCTAGAGGGTCGTGGTCACTCTTGGACCGGGGTCTAGCAAGTGTGATTCCTTTTGTGATTCTCCAAACTCTGGGCCTCAGATCTGCGCAATAGCCAGCAGCCATAGCCTCGATCCAGCGCCACGAGAGACACCGGGTTCCCAAACCCTATAACCTGGACACTTTCCCTGGGCAGTGGGCGGCTAGAAACTCCGCTCCTTTCCCCAGATGCTTCCTGCACCCATGTTCCAGCTCTTACACACACATCCCCATCCCAGGACCCCGTATCTACCTAATGCTTCAGGAAGCAAGGGCACAAACCTAGGACATGCATGCCCTGTCCACCAGACATGACCACTGGGTTTCACCAGGCGAGTCTTTTTGAAAAGTAAACCCAGGGTGCTGGAGAGAGGCTAGGCAGTTAAATGACGAGTACTGTTTTTCCAGAGGACTTGAGTTCCGTTCCCAGTGCACATGTGGGACGTTCAGATCTGATATCCTTTCCTGGTGTGTGAGCGCGTGCGCGTACACACACAGAGAGCGCGTGCGTACACACACACACACACACACACACACGGGATTTAGTATTACAAAAATTGTGGAGTGGTGACACACCTGAGCTTGAGGCCAGCCTGGTCTATCTACATAGTGACTTGCAGGCAAGCCTGGGGTACTGCGTGAATCTCTGTGTCAATCCCCTTCCCTGAGCTGCTGTCCCAGAGATCAGTGTGAGGGGCCCAACTCCAAGACAGGCTTTGCTTGACTGTGGGGCTTCACAAGGAGCAGCAGGTAGGGCCTGGGAGCGTGGACTCTTAGAACGGGACAGACCCAGTGTCGGAACCCAGCACCAACAGAAAGAAAGGATCATTGATTGCAGGGAAGGGTTGTCTGGGATGGGTCATTCCACAACAGCCCTCTATGGATGCAGGGCAAAATTTTTATTACGTTCATTTCGTTAGTGGGCGAGCGGACAGCAAGCCTTTGGACATTAAAGGGCAACTTGTAGGAGTAGGCATTCTTACCAAGTGGGACCCAGGGATGGAACACGGGTCCTTGGCTCGGCCGCAGGCACCCTGGCCGCAGGCACCCTGGCTGCACCACACTTCTATTGGTTGAGAAGGGTTCTCCTGCATCTCAAGCTGTTCTACAGGTCTGTGTAGCTGAGGTTGGCCTTGAACCCTCATTCCCTTGATTTCATCTCTCAAATACGGGTGTGCACCATCGCAAACAGTTTGGGGTGCAAGTTCTGAGTAGGTGTGGGGCATCATTGGATATCTGGGGTGTAGCGTGAACCCTTCAATAAACCTGCAGAAGAACAGCATAGGGGAAACAGATGTGTGACAGAGGCCACGGGGATCCACAGACTGGAGCTGAGCACCCGAGTGACAGGTGAGAAACTGGATAGCTAGGGTCCCCGAGACTCAGTGTTCCGCGATGCCCAGTTAGGCGAGGGGCGTAGTGCGCCCCTGCACCGGGTTCGGGGACACTGCAGCAGGTAAGCCGAGTCGTGCAGCGGTGCGGGGGGCGGGGCCGCGCGACCGC